ATACCATACCATTATATATTGAGATTATAAATAAAGAGATTATAAAAATAAATATAAAAGAACTTTTACATAAATATAACTTTCACTGAATATCCAACATTTGGACCTATCTTTGAAATGTATGCCAGTGATTTCAGAACACTCTGCAATTCATTCGTTCGCGCAGGGTTATCAAGGAATGCTTGTGCGAATATGTGGATGATTTGCGTTGGAAATGAACAGCACTGGGTGTCATCGTGCAATCCTTTCTTGAGACTAATACCGAGTCGTGCGTTTGTTTCGCGTTGAAAAGCGCTTCATTTGCGACTGATTTCCATAAAGACGAGAAGAGGAAGGGTGAAGTCAGGGAGGGAAAACGGGATGAATGACTTTTCTCTCTTGTTTAATTGTGACGATATTCTCGGTTTTACAGACAAAAAAATTGTTAATAGAAACCTTTTTCGAAATTCAAATATTTAACAATAATATATTTAACATTCAGTTAATGTGCATAATAATGTAATTATATATAAAAATGTAATTATATATCAGTTCTTGAGAGAACCACAAAAAATCCAAAAAGATTATACTTTATATGCATATACGTAGTAGATTACAGTTTACGTAATAGTTTACTTACGTAGTAGTTTATTATTTTTTTTTCGCTGCACGTGCATCCACAATTTTTTGCTCATAGAGATATGATATTCTCCAAGACTTGGCTAGCAAGCCAAAAAGTGCAATCACATCATGATTGTAATCAGAATTGCATGTTCTATGACAAAATCTACCGAACGAAGGCGCAGATCGAAAAGCGATTGAAGAGCGATATTCATCGAATGCTAAGAAAAGATGCAACGAATGGAAAATCGCCCAGGAATCCGGGCCTTTTGAGACCACGGTCCTAATAGTGGCTCGTTCTTCTGGAATATCGAAGGTAGTAGAGGGTAAAGAAGAGGGACGAAGGGGGCGGATTAATAAGAATGAAATTGCAGGGTAGGAGCCAACGTCGTAAAGTACACGGTCGATGAAATCTCCCTCACCCATTTCCCGCTCTCCCGCCCTCCCAGGATCGGCGGAGGGCACGGCGTCGTTATTAAAGGCATCGTAGAAAATAATAAAATGAAGATTAATAGCGCGAGCTCGCGTGCAGCCGCGGTGATGCATCGTCGAGTGCAGTATGCATGAAGTTGTTTACGATATCGTCTGGAATTCCTATTGCGAGGGAGGAAACGTGAAGAAAGAAACGCTCCGCTGCACTATCGCTGAAAATATCTGACGTGAAGCACAGCTTTATCAAACGCGGCACTTGTCATACTTATCCTCATATTTCAGTGCGTTAAAAAGTATTAAATCTCGACAAGAGAAACAGCGCAATTTATTTACGAAATTATAAAAATCATTGTCATATTGGACAGATTTTTTTTTTCTTACGCAGTTTGCGAATAATAAAAACATCTTCTTTCTCGAATTTCAGTGCCGATTTTTACGGTCGTACCGTTTTATAACGCGTTGTATCGAATATGAGGAAGGAAAAATGCGGGCAGATCGGTCGATCGATGTTTAATTCTAGAGGAACACGCGAAGCCATCGACGTTAATCAAGTTTCATGCCGCTGCGCTACTTAAGATCGTTCAGAAATCCGTTATAAATTCAATTTACTCGGGCCGGATATTCAAATTAGTCGTAGCAAGTTTTAAGTTACCGCCGCTGCTGGGGCGATTACGCGACCGTATATTAACCCCTGCTGTCCGACCATTCTGGCGTATTAAAATCGCAGATTTGTTCTCTTAACGCCCTACCGCGAGCTGGAAATTATTTTCCGCACTAGATATTAATGCCAATAAGGCACTTGATGTGGGACAATCTGCCGAGTTGGAATTTTAAAATTTTATATGATTAGTTGGGATCTTTTCAAAGAACTCTGCAAGATTTCTTTAAATGATTAATCTGTCGCCAATATTTTTTCCGTGATAAAAGAGCCGATGATATATCGATTAGATAGAAAATTAATGATAAATAAAGTAAGAAGAAATTAGAAAATAAAAATTAAGATTTCAATATCTAGATTAAATAAGAAAAATTTGATCGTTCATACGTTAACATTACTAGAATCTTTAGCTTACGATGTTGGAATTCATGCTTCTAGTCGCTTTTTTTTTATATTAAGAAACACGCATTAGAAAATTTACAGCAAACAAAGAGATTTTTATAAAAATCTTAGTAAAAATTACTCATTTACATTCCCATTGAATATTTAGTATCAGTTGTAAAATATTACCTAACTAGAATATTACTTATTAATTTTTGTACATTATTATCTTAGAGTCGCAATGTTTAATCGCATGTGTGAATTGGCTGATGATAGTGTGTTTTCAGACGGTGTGCATAATCCCGTTTAAATTTGTTTTCAGTACTACTCACTGCACAATCCTCGGTACAGAACGCGTATCTCCCGTCGATATTGACATGCCTCCAGGTGAAGCTTGCACTCGTTGCTATAGCTGATGCCATCATCGCCGCACACGGGTTGAAATTCTGCCGGACAAGTTGGACATTCGCACACAGCATTGCCGCCGTTCTCCGCGCAAATTGCGCCCCATTGACACACCTGTGAACCGAATAATCATACACGGAATTACATGCAACGTATCATTACGTAACACGAAAAGCTACCCGCCACTCATTTTGTTTTTCCATTTTATTAATTAAGCACGCTTAAGTTGCCAATTTGCTGATGTTTAATTCACAGCATTAATTTATTGGACGTAGTATTTATCTGTATATTATTTTTTTTTGTTTCACGTATAATAAAATAATAATTTTGTAATATAATCTAATTGTTAAACTAAAACAAACAAAAATGTATTGAAAATATAAACAAAGATTTAATTAAAATAGCGAAAAGTCTATCGAGTATATAGAGAATATCGAGGTTCGTAAAACCGCTTATGAGAAATACATGGGACGAGAAACTCAATACAATGTCTTCGTGAAATTCATCGAGCTCGATCTCTCCTCGTTCCTTTTCGTGCTAGTACCTACTAGCTATCCCACGGAGATATCCGGCACAGCGTCATCCAATTAGCGACAATTGCTTTTGGCGAAGGAGCTCGTCGAAATGGTGAGGATCTCACCTCGGGCTTTCGAATTTTGCGGGGAATCGAGAAAGTATCGAGAGAAGGAGAAATAGTGAAAGAGAGGAAATTTCCTCCGCACTCTATCGGACTCTTGATCCCTTCCAATTTCTGCGGTGAATACATCCAGCAATTTCCATTTCGCGAGCGAGTTCGGCATCGATTACGAATCTTGTTTTGTCGACCAATGTCTTTCGTCAGCTCAAATCTAACTAAATTGTATGGCGTCTTAAATAGTAACACGTTATTTCTGATGAAATTGAAGGCAATCTTGACACATCACAGATCGCGATCTATGATAATCTAAAACTTTTACTTGTCAAATTATTTCCTTTTATACATTTTATTTCTGATTTGAATTCGGTATCTATAGAAACGTCACGGATATATATTGTAGCATAGATATATGCTATTTGTGTTATATATTTCTTATGCTCCGTGTGCCGTCCTATTCGTTTAATCCATCTGTCGAATTTAATAAAATATCTCGCAAGATGCCAGGCTGCGACTCTCTTGTCGAGACGTCTTTCTCAAAGAGATCAATAATTCGCGTCGTCGAATTTTCCGAAGATCTGGCGACGACGCGAAATGTCACTCGCGCCGAGCGCGGAAACGGAAGCGGAAACCGCGAGTGCGCCTTGCATTTCCGTGCGCGAGACTGACCTTCTCGGAGCAGGGTCCTCTGGAGCCGCATGTGCCGACGTAGGCGACTTCGATGTTGCTCCTCGTTAGACAGGCCTGCCTCTTCAGCTCGCACATGGACGTGTAGGTCTTTCCGCCGCGAGCGCAAACGGGCCTCATTATCGGCTCGCACTCGGGACGACATTCGCAGTTAGCGATTCCTTGCCGATTGATCGTACACTGTTCGTGGAAGTTGCATTTCACCGCTTCGCAGGGATTTTGTCCTGCGAAATAGAACGACCATACAATTTTCCTCACAAGTATTCTTATCCTCGCAGAATTCCAAAAATTATTTTTTTTAAATGCAAATAGTTTAATGTACTAAATAAAAAAAATTAGTAAAATAAACAATTAACGAAAGATTAATTAATTTACTTACGACAACATAATATTTGCCATTTTGTAAGAAAAAAAATCAATATTATTGTCCTAATAGTAATCATAATTTTATCTAGTCAAATATTCATATTTTTTTTCATATTTTTATAATCACTAATTTTATTAGATAGAAAACATTTCTGTGTTAATTCTTGTTTACTTTATTATATTAGTATGTATTGAGGATAAATGCTCTGTATAAAAAATGTTAACAGTCTTTATATACCGGAGCTGCAAGCGCCGTTGTAGATTTTCTTGAGCGGTAATCTGGATCGGCAAGCTTCCTGTCGAAGATTACACTCGTTCGAATATGTTTTGCCATCACTTCCACAAACTGGTGAGAGCTCGAGTCCGCATTGTTCCCCGCAACGACAGACTGGTTGTCTCGAATCGTCCAACTGACAGATTTCCGGTTCTACACATGTGGTACTTGCGCAAGGATCTGGAAAATTAATTTATAATTAACAATCTCGATAAATAAAATTATCGAGTGATGACAACATGTCTTTTCAATCATATGAATTTTTAATCACGTGTACAATCTTTTTTAGCTTCTTGGAAAATATTAGAGAAAAATATTTGTTTTTCCTTAGCCTATTATACTTATATTTATTTTTAGCAAAAAGATTCTTAATTATTTCTCTATTTTAAGATTCATTTCGTGAATAATTATAAGGATTAATCCAATAATCTACATGGTAAAAATTTCATTTGCATTTAATCGGTTCTTCTGTCTCACATTTCGAGAATTACTACTAATCCTGATGAAATCGATTGAATTTAAATAACCTTCTTATGATTTCTTTTTATGAGCCATCGTTTGCATACGAGAACCGAGAGAATACGGATAATATCCAAGGCGAACGAATAATGATGAAAGGGTGCAAGGACCACGAACGGTCCAGTTAGAGAAGATATGGCCGCATCGAGATTAATCTTCACCTTCGATCAAGGAAGGAAGGAAGTTGGATTCCTGTCTACAAGCGGGATAGCTAGGTTTCGCCCTTATACTAGCGGCTGACGAAGCAAGTTCTCCCCCAGCGATGGTGGTGTTTCTCGGCGTTAGCTCGAGTTACAGTCCAGTGGAGCGACTAAACTCGACCCTTCCGTAACCCAAACCCCAAGCGTTCTCCTTCGTCGGCGCTTGATGCGCCAGTTAATTCGAGTTTAGCACTAATCGATCTCGGAAAAGTATCATTGCATCACCAATTGTGAAATGAGAAGTAAGATCTCGTTTTGTGGTCGCCCACTAGCCGAAAAATGATATTTTCAAAGTTAAAAGGCAAATTCTTACGTCTCTCATCCGTATCGTTTTATTTCATTCAGATGTCCCGAAATGATTAGCGATTAATGGACGACGGGGATGATATTCTTTGCCATCCTTTTCATCGCTTCGTAATTCCATCTCCGTGCGATGGGGAGAGGCCCTTATATCGCTCCCGTCGCTTGCATCGGATGAGATAGAACGGTGTCATCGCGTTCTTTCAAGGTCTCCGCGCCTTAATGGGATTTCTCACCCTGCTTCTTTCCCGCCGTCCGCCTGCAGCAGCCTTCATCGAAACACCGGCCACGATCCGATCTCTCCCTCGTGGGAGAGAGCAAGGGTATGGGGATGGTTACGCCGGCGCGTTAACTTCACGCGACATTACCCTGATGCGGATTTCTTTGTATTATCGGGCCGGGGCCACGATGTGAAAGCCGTTGGAAGAAGCCTTTTCAGTATGGACGACGACGGACTTGCCGTTCGACGGCTGGAATCTCCTGTGGAACGTGTCCAAAGACGGACGATGGGATGCTGTATGTCGCGACGCGGGTGACTGATGAGCTGTTCGTACATTCCACGTATTATTGGCGAATTATCATTTAATTTAGAGGAGAAGAGAGACGGGTACGGAATATCAATTTGTTCACGGGCAATAATTTCAGCGAGATGTATTAAGCGTAATCGCGAGATATAGGGGAAGGGTATTATCGTCGTAGTACGGAGAAAATTATGCTCGAAGAAAATTTTATTCTAGGAAAAAAAAAGATACACAAATTCCTTGAGAGATCCTCGATTTATCGGTTCTTGATGAATCGAGAACCAGCCTTTGAGGTGATTTTCGGAGAGACGCTCGCGAGGCAACCGACTTATGTACACACGGCGGGAGTGCATCCTAGTTACTTCCGCTAAAGCAACTGCAAATATCGATCCTTTTTAGACGCCTTCCTTTCATGTGCAGATACTGTGCGCATACCTCTCCCGCATTCTACGAGCAATGCAAGCGGGAATATCTCAAAATCGCTTGGCGCACGGTAAAAGCCTTGTAAATTGCCCATCGCCCTCATCCACGGACAGAGCAAATCAGCATCCACTTCGTTTGTAGCTTTACGATTTTGCCAATTTGCAATCCACCTTCTCCTCCTCTCTCCGGAAACGACGTATCGCGTCGCGATGAGACTCCAGGAGAGGGAGATTCTTCTCTTATCTCCCGGACTCTTATATACGCATTAAGTAAATGACAAGAAAAAAGAATCTGACGCGCGGGATAAAACGCGCGCGCCGTTAAACGGTGCGTAAGTTATCACGTACAAGATATAAACCTCCCGGAAAGCTAAAATCTTATTGAAGCGTTCTTCTCGTTTTCTTCGCGCTTCAGCCACGTCGCATCCAGAAAATATCCGGAAATATCCTTTCTTTCCATCCGCGACTCGAAAGCTATGGGAAGCTATATACGAGACGCGGTTTGACATTACGCGAGCGTAAGGTATAAGGGTATTATGTCTGGGGAGCAATGACTGGGTTTATGTTAACGGCACCTCAGCGGTACTTCCGGCTTGATGTACGCCATACACTCCCGTCTTCCGCGCAGCCGCCTCCGTTCGACCTATCCACGTTCGTTCCTCGTCTGCGCGTAAGCCTCTGCCGTGCATGTTTCTCTCTCTCTCTCTCTCTTTCTTTTTGCGCCACTTAGGCCCCGGACGCGTAAACATGAGCGCGTGAGAGTACAAGATGTAATTTACGGGGTTGCGGACGACGTAAAATTTCGGCTGAATTCGAGCGGCGGAGAAAGCCGGACAAATTGCCGCCTGCTTGCGTAAAGATAAGTTTTTTATGAGCGCGTCAAGGCGGCCAGAAAGTGGCGGCTGTCTAGATACCTGTTCCACGAGATGATGTTGCGGTTGATGGTCGAGACGTTACAGCTACCTTCAAAGCATCTATTAATCTTTGAAATTTCAAAAAGTTACGATCCGCGTTAAATATCGACGTTTAAATCCTCTTATCTTACGATCCTTCTAATGTCGATTATTAGCATGCCAGTTTTTAACTAAGATCGCATTTACGACGTATGATTTCCTCATCTCTTCTAATCGACTACTCTGGCAATGAAAATTACAGTTTCCGGCAGCTCCTTTCAGAACTGCGTTCGCCCTTGCAAATTCCATCTGCTTTAGCAACTCCTTAGATCGATAACGATAACATGATTAATATCTAATTCAAAGTGATAACATTTCCAGGCCGTCAAGCGTGGTAACTAAAGCTCGTTAGCATGTTTCCGAATAATGAGCGCGATACTCACTTCCTCTCCCATCCTTGTAATCCTCGCGCGAATCTCGTCGAGTTCCAGTCTGTTTGTCATGCGCCAGTTTTTAACGACGGCAACATGGTTCTTGCCGTCTCTATTCAGCCACAGCGCAATCTCTCGTAGCTATCGACACTTACACGATCATCGATAACCGATCGCGCTCGTTACTTACGTTCGCTCGTTTCTTGCCAACTAGCGCCTCGCCTTCGAGGTGCGTCACTTCCGGTGGAACGAGTCGCTCCTCCTTTTTTTCGTCGCCGATGCCGATCTCGAGCCCGACGAGCCCGAGTATCGGCGCTTCCGTCATCTCGGCTGGGAATTGTTTCCTCGAACCTGACACCGCTCGAAATTTCCGGCTCGTTGGATTCCCCCGTTTGCAAAAGGTCCCGTGGATAAACACATTTGCTTGTTGGTTTGTCTCGGGTTTACACCATGCGTCTTTTTCTCTTCTATATCGTCGTCTTTCGTACAAGCGAGCGCATCTCAGCCCCGGCTCGGCGAGTGTGAGAATTTAGTTGAATCCATTTCCAAGGTGCCACGCCTCGGGAATCCGACGTTCCTTCATGGCCGGTTCTACCTTTTCCCGGTCGACCCTTATTTCGGCACGTTCGAGCGTGAAGAAAATACCGCTTTCTTTTTCTTGGGGCTTGGATATGCGTGACGGGAGCGACTTGCGGGCGGTGTCTCACGAAAGTGGAAGAGAAGAACGTAGCGAGCTGGATAGAGATGATAGAGATGCCCCTCCCGTTACGGTGTATGTTGGAAGAAAGCTCGCTCGGAAGAAAAGGTTCGAAAGTACAAGCAAGTTGGAAAAATATTTCCAGGAGAAATAAAAATTTAATCAATATGTTGCCATTATCGATGACGCAAGTATGATATACGAGACGGCACCAAAACATATTGTGGCTACGTCCAAACGGTAATAAAAACTAAATAATCGAAATAAATCGAAAGATGATAAAAATAATTTAACTGTAGATTTCATTTATTTAAAAAGAGTGTTTGATTTATTTGCAGTTCGTAATTTTTCTTCTAGAATAAATATTAATATTTCATTTTTTCCTTTTTTTTTAAATTAAATCTTTCAAGAAGAACATTCTTCAGCGTTTTCCTTATATTTAGAACATTAATAAAAGTAGCTTATATAAAGAATCGATAATTATGGCCTCGACAACGTTACTTTTGAAGCAGGTTTTCACCTTCTTGCACAGGGTTTCAGACGCAAGAGTTCAATATTCTTTTTTACGTTTCGTTTCACCATCCAATCACGACCGCGAAATACTAGCTGCGCCGGCGAAACGGGAGGGAAGCCGAAAAGTTTCGAAACTTTTGGAAGTTAATTTGATTTATCGTACCGTCACTTCAGATTCATGCCTCGAGTTAGTC